CTGGAGAAACCCTGAGAGTATGGCCCCCAGACACCCTTTTAGCTCAGTGGTGAAGTCACTTACGAGGTTCACCGTTCAGCCGGGGATTGGACAGCCCCATAAAACCAAACGAGACTAATAAGGCACAGAAGTCCAGGGACAAGGGCTAGAAGGCAGAAGGGAACAGGAAAGCTGGTAATAGGGAACCCAGGGTTGAGTAAGGACAGTGGTGATGTGTAGTGAGGTTGTTAACCATTGTTATAGGCAACATGTGTACCAACTGTTTAATGAGAAACTATTTAGTTCTATAAACCTTCTTCTAAAGTGAGAATAGCAACACAATTGGAAGAGCGTAGTTGATGTCACTGAACTGTGCATGTAGAAATTTTTGAAATGGTGAATCTTTGGCTATGGATATTTTCACCAAAAAAAAAAATCAAGAAGGGAGAGGGTTGACATGTCGTGGGGTTGTTAACCAATGTCGTAAAACAATATGTGTACTACTGTTTAATGAGAAAGTATTTGTTCTGTAAACCCTCACCTGAAGTACAATTTAAGAAAAAAAAAAGAAAAGAGCACCGGCTGCTAACCAGAAACTCAGCAGTTTGAATCCACCAGCCAATCCTTGGAAACCCTATAAGATAGTTTTACTCTGTCCTATAGGGTTGCTATGAGTCAGAATCAACTTGACGACATCCAACAAACAACCATCACCATAAGATGCAAGTCCCTGGGTGGCACAAACAGTTAAGCGCTGAGCTGCTAACCTAAAGATTGGCTTCCAACCAACCTAGAGGCACCTGGGAAGACAGGCCTGGTGATCAGCTTCTGAAAGGTCACAGACATGAAAACCCTACGGAGTGCAGTTCTACTCTGTAACACATGGGGTCGCCATAAGTCACAATTGATCCATTGTAACAGGTTGGTCATCAAAAGATGCCTGAAGAAAAATGCAACAAAAGGTGGAGAAAACTGACCAGTTTAGCGCCAGCAATGGAGGTCCTCAGACCTGGGCAGGGGGAGATAGAAACCATGTCCTCTCACCTCCACCGCCCTCACTTAAAAGTTCAACCCAGCCTTACTGCAGTGAAGATGTAAGCTGTGAACCCAGTGCTTAAAACCAGAAAGGCCCAGCCCAGAGCTGTCCCCAACTCTCCCCCACTCCCACCCCAAAACTTTCTAGCTCTGAATTATCTAATTTTGTCTTGTGGGTTGGTGTTTGTGTGGGTTTTATGAAGGAGATATTTCTAGAGGAGGACTGTAAGATTATGGCAGCGCACTTAAAAACACACCCAAGCACATAGTGTCTACCACAAATAACAAATGCTATCTTAGCTTCACAGAAAGACTATAAATTGGGGCTAGGGGTCTAACCTCTTACCTCTTTATCCTCCTCTCCCCCCTTCTTTGCATCTGATGGTTACCTAGTACAAAGGTATAGAGCGTGGGCTTTAATTTCAGTTCCCCTTTGCAAGCTGCACAAAGTTTGACAAATAATTTCTGGGCCTGTTGCTTTATCTGTGAAGCAGGAGATGACAACTTCCCATTTCAGAGTTATGATGAGCAGATTAAACATTTGTGAAAGAGAAATACATTTGCTCTTTGGCACGGTAGTTAGGTGCTTATATCCTCCTCCTCCTTGTTGAAAGCGCAAATGTTTGTGAAGAAGCGCAGGAAAACAACTCTCAGATCTTTGTCTACCCAGGACTTAACAACTGTTAAGTGAATGAACGGATGAATATAGCATCGCTAATCCTTTCAAGTTTAGGGGCTGAATGAAAGGTATTGTTCAGTTTTGAAAACCTAGACAATCACAGGGCTGAGCTGCCCTAACCGAACCGGGAAGACGCAGGACCTGAGACCCGCTCCGGCAGCGGCAGCCTGGGCTCCGCCCGTCTGCGCCCATTGGCCCTTTCAATTCCAGCCTGGGACCAATGGGCGGGGACGGCGGCCGCGCTGTTTAAGGGCAGAGCTGCTGGCGGCGTGTTGCGCGCGCAGGCTGTCTGATCTGTGTGTACGTGAGGCAGTCAGTCCCCAGACTGGAGCTCCTCACCCCAGACTGCGCTGAGCACTCAGACCGTGCCCCGGCACCTGCAGCTACCCCCCAGTCAGAGAACTTCGATCACAGGTGAGGGGAGTCGCTGTGGCGGGAGCGAGGCAGGCAGGGAGGCGGAGAGTTTGCCTGAGGGAACGGGGAAGGGTGGGGGAAGCTCTTCTACCTTTTTTAAGTTGTCTTTTTCTTGATTCACTTTCCCTTGATGGCTGTAAAACTCTGACTGTTTACCAGAATCCTGACAAACTTAGTAGCTGGGCCCGCAGCCCAGCTCAGGGGCGGGTTAACCAGCAAGCCCGGTACACGAGTCAGCCAGTGCGCACCTTGCTTACTGGAGAATCTGTCCCTGGACCAACTCCACCCCTGACGCGTTGCAAGAGAACCCTGAACAGGTCGCTCCGTCTTTACAAACCTTACTCTTGTCCCCTGTGAAATGCGTAATAAAAGAGTAGCACCCACTCCGTGGGGTGACTGCGGATTGAGCGCCTCTGTGCGGCCGTTACTGCCGGCCGGCCCCCCTTGCTGCGAGGCTGGAGGCAGCCCCCGAGCCCGTTTAGCGGCGGGGAGGGCCTGAAGGCGGACTGCGCCTGCGCTGCCGCTCCCCGTCTGGATTCGGGAGCTCATTTCTGCGCGGTTGGAGTTTGATCTTTCAAATTTAACACCTAGAGCTTAGACATTATGGAATCCTAGGGATGCCCCGGTTCCCAGGATTAATCTTATTTCTTTGTCCAGCCTATGGGAAAAAGGAAACAAACTGAAGTGACTCACTCAACCCACTTCTGGCGAATTCGGCAGAACTTGGGGTCTGGTGTCTCATCCCTATCATTTATTTTCTTAAAGCTTAGCGTTCGGAAACCGCATGTTGAAAATAATGTTCTCCAGATTTTTCACGATCAGGCATGTGAGTCTTGTGCGGAGTGGTTATAGGGACCTTTTATGTTAACAATCTCTTATTAATGGGATTATTTTTCAAACGCAATATTGAATTGGGAAATTTTCTGTTACATAGAAGACTCAGTTTTCTAAATAAAACATTTTTCTAAATGAAATATTTAGTCATTTAGTCAACAATTTTTTTTTGATGTTATTTTAAGGAATGTTGACTTGTAGATTTTCCTGTGTTATTTAGAAGAAAGAAGACAAAAACTTGAGGAATATGAATCAAAAAGAAAAACATTTTTCTAATAAACAAACAGGAAAATCATAATATCCAAGTGAAGTCAGGCTTATTTCATTGAAGTTCTGTAATATTATGTCAGAGCTCTCCAATAAAAATTCATGGCCAGGAACATACGTAATTTAAAATTTTATAGTGGCCACATTAAAAAAAAATTTTAAGATGAAATAAATTTTAATGGCATTTTATCTAATCCAATATATCCAAAATATTAATCATTTCTACCTGTAATTCATAAAGTTATTGAGAGATATTACATTTTTTGGTACTAATGCTTCAAAATCTGATGTGTTTTACACTTTCCTGGGCAATGATGGGAGTGGTTGGGGAAAGAGGATGACTGGTTGCCACAGAACGCGTTATTCTATCCACTTGATAGTTAAAATCCTCCTCTGCTGAGGTCATCCTGTGGTGAGCATTCACAGGAGACACAAATCACTTCTTTGGCCCATTTGGAGCGGTCTATCCACATACCTCTTCCCCATACCTCTTTGTCTCCAATTTTCCAATCATGTTCCTTCCAAGTCCCTAATCATCCTGCCAAGCCATTGGCCAGAGACCATGAATCAGTATACAATTGAACATCTAGCCATTTCTCTTTCCAAGCAAAGTGAACAACCAGGGGCACCACTCGAAGTTCTGCCCATTGGGAGGATTTCCCTTCACCACTGTCCTTCAGGGACGTCCCAGAAAGGGGCTGTAGTGCTGCGGCTGTCCACTTTCAAGTGGTGCCTGCTTATCGCACAGAACCATCTGTAAACTAGGCACGAGTTTTCTCTTTCTTAATCAACTAATCATAAGGAACTCCCCATGAAGGCATAGGTGCAGACTGGGAGATGGAAGGTAATGTGACAGGAGTGGAGACCATGGGCATTTGGTCACTTCCTCATTCAACTTGCTTGTGCCTTCAGGGTCCTGCTTGGACCGGATCTCATATATACCACTTCCATTTAATGATGGAGTTCTGCTGTGCACGCCTGACTTTATGGCTCCATGGGTCAGACAACACCCAGTTCATGATGGGCAGCTCAGGCCACATGGTGACTTGGGTCCCATGGTTAAACATTAAGTCTCTACTGAGGCCCAGTAATGAGCCAGAAGCTGTTTCTCAAAAGGAGAGTAGTTATCTGCAGAGGATTGCAGGGCTTTGCTCCAAAATCCTAAGGATCTGTGCTGTGATTCACGTTTAGGGGTCTGCCAAAACTCCAAACAGCATCTCTGTCTGCCATTGCCTCTTCAGGCACCATTGGATCACCTGGATCATATGGCCCAAGTGGCAGAGCAGCTTGCACAGCCGCCTGAACCTGTTGCAGAGCCTTCTCTTGTTCTGGGCCCAACTGAAAACTAGCAACTTTTCAAGTCACTTGATAAATAGGCTGTAGTAGCACACCCACATAAGGGATATGTTGCCTCCAAAATCCAAAGAGGCCCACCAGGCATTGTGCCTCCTTTTTATTTGTGGGAGAGGCCAAGTACAATGGTTTATCCTTCACTTGAGGAGGAGTATCTCGACATGTCCCACACCACTGGATTCCTGGAAATTTCACTGAGGTGGAAGGTGCCTGAATTTTTGTGGGATTAATTTCTCACCCTCTAGCACACAAATGTTTTACCATTAAGTCCAAAGCCATTGACACTTCTTTGTTACTAGGTCCAAACAGCATAATGTCATCAGTGTAATGGACCAGTGTGATGTCTTGTGGAATGGAAGGGTGATCAAGGTCCCTGTGGACTAAATTATGACATACACCTGGAGAGTTGATATACATCTGGGGTAGGATAGTGAAGGTGTATTGCTGGTCTTGCCAGCTGAAGGCAAACTGCTTCTGGTGGTCTTGAAACAGACACGGAGAAAAAGGCATTAGTCAGATCAATAGCTGCATACCAGGTACCACGAGATTTATTAATTTGTGCAAGCAGTGAAATCACACCTGGCACAGCAGCTGCAATTTAAGTTACAACCTGCTTAAGTTTTCAATAATCTACTATCATTCTCCAAGATCTGTCTATTTTTTGCACAAGCCAAATAGGCAAGTTGAATGAAGATGTGGTGGGAATCACTACCCCTGCATCCTTCAAGTTCTTGATGGTAGCAGTAATCACTGCAGTCCCTCCAGGAATGCTATACTGCTTTTGGTTTACTATTTTCCTAGGTAGGGGCAGTTCTCATTGCTTCCACTTGGCTTTTCCTACCATAATAGCCCTCACTCCATTTGTCAGGGATCCAATGTGGGGGTTCTGTCTGTTGCTGAGTATGTCTATTCCAATTCTGCATCCTGGAACTGAGGAAATAACTACAGGATAGGTTCAGGGACCCGCTAGACCCACTGTGAGATGGACCTAAGCTAAGACTGTATTAATAACCTGACCTCCATACACCCCTACTCTTACTGGTGGGCCACAGTGACGTTTTAGATTTCCTGGAATTGGGGACCCCGCCTCTGCTGTATTCAATGAGTTTTAGGTCTGTAAACTCACTCAAGTCTGGGAATTGATTAAGGGGCCATGACTCTTTATTCTGGCAATTTGCGTTAGACTGCTGTTCACTTGACCTTTAATTTTTCCACTTGTACAGATTAAGTAAATATTTAGTAGTTTTCCCATTTATTTCTTCCTAGAGACATCATGACTAAGTCGCCAATGCCATAAGTCCATACAAGTCAGACTTTTCTGATTACCGCTTTGACTCTGCTGTCCATTACGGTAATGATGCCCACCTTGTCTTTGTCAATTGAGTGCCGCCACTTGGCCTCTACCACCACAGGATCCAATCGGCCCCCTTGTAGTTAGGTGTCTTAATTCAGTTGGAGCAGTTACCACTGTCAAATCTGACTTATGTAAAATAGCAATCACAGCAGTCTTCAAGGATGCTGGGGCTCCCTTCACAAATTTGTTCCTCACCGGTGTGGTAAAAGGTGTGTCCTCTGGGCACTCCACTTGCGGACCTGTGGGTCTAACCTGATAAATACACTCTAACATGCCAATTTCCCTAAGCCTTTGGATACCTTCTTCTACAACCAAGGCAGGTCTGGTACTTCAGCTTGATTTAGTGTAGGCCACTGTGTAATCCATGCTTCAGCAGACCAACCAAATAAACTATTAGATTCTTTCCTAACCTCTCAAGCTGAAACATTGAATGCTAAATCTGTGCTTAGTGGGCCCATATAAATAAACTCAAATTGATCCAACTTTACGTTCCTTGCACCATTATTCCACACCCTTAATAGACATTCTCATAAGTATTCCTCAGGTTTCTGTTTGTAAATATTAGAAAAGTCTAGCAATTCTTTTGAAGTGTAGCATACCTCCTCCTGGGTCATACTTTGTACTTCACCTTTTGGGGCTCACTGGGACTTAAGTCTAGTTATAGATCTAGAAGCAAAAGTGGGTGGTGGGGTTGTGTTTTGAGAACATTCAGCATTGTCTTGTATGGCATCTGCCTCAGGCGATGCCCCGGGCAATGCCTCAGACACTGTCTCCGACCATATGTCAAACAAAGGCTCTTCAGACACAGCTGGGTTAATCTCATCATATGGGGGTGGAGGCCTCTTTGCTACTGGAAGCAGAGTCATTAACATCTTTAACACTAACCAGACTTGAGAAGCAATTTCAGAAAACTCATCCTTACAATTTTGTTTCTCTAGAACCACTCTTGGTACCAAATGTCTTAGGCTGGGTTCTCTAGAGAAGCAAAACCAGTAAGCATTTCCAAGGCTGTAAATCTTTACAGAAGCAGACTACCACATCTTTGTTCTGTGGAGCAGCTTGTGGGTTCGAACCACTAACCTTTTGATTAACAGCCAAGTACTTTAACCATTGAGCCACCAGGGCTCCTTGTGTATAGGTATAGTGGGATTGATTCTGACTCTTAGGGACCCTATAGGATAGAGTAGAACTGCCCCAAAGAGTTTCCAAGGAGCGGCTGGTGGATTCGAACTGCCGACCTTTTGGTTAGCATCTGCGCTCTTAACCACTGCACCACCAGGACTCCTGTATAGGTAGTATTTGTTTAAAACCTTGAGACTGAATGAGATTACAGGGGAGTGAGCAAAGATAATATTAATGTAAATAAGTCAGTGGCTCTGAACTGTTTATTTAAACAGTTAACCAGTTAACAGGGTTAGACAGTTCTGTTTTACATCAAATAAAGGGTGGATATCTTAAGACTCTTTTGTTCAGATAACTCTTCTAAGGGCAGTTTTATAATAAAACAGAATAGGATTATGTGTTTTCACACATCATCCTGAGATTTTTAGCTAACAGGAACGCCAGTGATTTCAAGATTAAGCACAGCAGTCTGTTAGTACTGATAGAAAAAGATGAGTTCCTGAAAAGTGTAAAACTAAAATAACAAGACAGAAGCAGAGTGCTAGGCCTGTCCTCTGCGGCAACCTCCAACGTTTAGGTTAGTCAAGTGCACAGTTTGTGCTACCTAACCAAAAAAACAAACTCGTTCCTGTTGAATTGATTCCAACTCATAGCGACCCTATAGGACAGAGTAGGACTGCCCCATAGGGTTTCCAAGGAGCAACTGGTGGATTCAAACTGCTGACCTTTTTGGTTAGCATCCGTAGCTCTTAACCACCAGGACTCCTTGTGCCACCTACCAAAAAAAAAACCCAAACCCGTTGCTGTCGAGTCCATTCTGACTCATAGTGACCCTGTAGTAGAACTGCCGGCATAGAGTTTCCAAGGAGCCGACCCTTTGGTTAGCGGCCCGTAGCACTTAACCACTATGCCACCAGGGTTTCCTGTGCCACCTAGAGACCTTAAAAAGGCAGAAGAAATATTTAAAATAAGAATGAGGCTTTGTTGCCCTGGAGGGGTTAGTTAAGAAGAGAGAGAGACAGAGAGTGAGGTTGGGGGTGAGAGATTGAAAGAAAGTGGGAGAGAGAAAGAAAGAGAAAAGAATTCAGTGATTCAGTAGCAAAGTGAAAAAAGTGTTTAAAGAAAGAATGATCAACTATATCAAGTGCTGCTAAGAGGTCCAGTAAGATGCAGTCTGAGAACTGACCATGAGATGTAGAAACATGGAAGTGATAACGTTAGCAGTCTCCACAGAATGGTGGGGACAAATTCCTGATAGACATAGGCTGAGGAGAGAATGGCAGGTGACAGCATGGAAACGAGTATAGGTATTTCTTTTTGAGGAGTTTTGCTATAAAGAAAAACAGACAAATTCAGCTGTAGCTGACAGGAAATGTGAAATTTAAGGATTTTTAAGAGGAGACATAAATATAGTGTTTGTATGCTGATGGGAATGGCCCAGAATGAGACAAGTTAATGATGCAGAAGGATGAGCAAATCCTCACAGGAGCAGAGTTCATGAGTTTGTAGGAGGGCATAGAATGGAGAGCAGAAGTGGAGAGTGTGGCCCTAGATCAGCACAGCATCAGTTCATCCTTTAGAACAGGAGGAAAGGCAGTATATATGGATGTGGAAACAGACTGGTAGACTTTGGTGGAGGAAAGATAAGCTAAAGCTAATTCTTGTTACGACTGCTTCCAGTTTTCTCAGTGATACAGCATCACAGTATGCTGTAAGCCCAGAAGTAGTAGAAGCTGAGGTCAATAGGGGACCACTTGATTAGTTGAGGTACCACATGAGAGCAGCCTGGCAGGTTGACCCTGAGCATCATCTCCTTCCACCTTACACCAAACAGTGAGCCAGGCAGTAGCAAGAGAGATATTTGCCCCCTGGTAGTAAATGTAGGAGACATTGCTATGCTCTGGGTGACGGACAGTGTCTGGGAGGAACAAGAAGCACCCACACTCAGAAGATAGCTTACAAAGATACCCTGTTCAGTGACACATTTTGACCTTCCTTCTCCATCATTCAAAATCAATAGTATAAGCTATGTCAACAATTCTGCCCCTTCCCCAAGCAAGACTGGGCACACCAAAATGAAAAGCAGTGTAACCAAAATTATCAATTTGTCAATTTTAAGATACACATTTTTTCACATTTTAGCATTTCTGAACTTGGAATGTGTCATAGAATCAATGGCATGACTAAATAACTGTGTTTTTCTTTTTTAATAGTATGAAAAATAAAGGTACTTGTTACCATTAATTGATTTTAGAGTACAAATGTGGTCAGTACACAGTCAAGAATATCCAAACATTTGCAAAAAGCCAACCTAATGAAAGAGAAGTAACAAACTAAGCGGTCATAAGAACGCATATCAAAGGAAGTGGACTTTTCAATATCTGCAAAGAGCTAAGGGATACTGTTATTATATCCAGAAACCAGGAAAAGGTAGAAGTTATGAAAGAATCAATTAGACATCTTAGGAATGAGAAATATAATTGTTAAAATAAAAACCTTTAGATGTCCGAATATCAGAGTAGACTAACTGAAGAACAAACTGGTGACCTGTAGGATCAAGCCTGGGAATTCTCCCAGAACATAGCACAGAGGAATGGGAAGTCTGTGAGAATAACTCAGGTGTCAGGTATAGAGAAGTCTTCATCATATGGAGAACTCCAAGAGGAGAGAAAAGAGAGTAAGCAATATTTGAGAATTGAAAGTTGAAATTTTCCTAGATTGAAGAAACCTGATTCTGAGAAAGAGTTTGGTGAGCAGGAAAAAAAAAAAAATCTCATAATTTAGATATGAGAGAGACGAAGAGTCTGTATGGAGAGAGGCCCGCTTCTGAAGATAACTTTTCTTTTGTTCTTAAGCTGGGAACTGTTCTCTTTTGTCCTCTAACTCTTTCTTGAAACATAACAACAACACTCTTAGTATAATTGCCTGCTAAGAGATTCTTGTGGCCTGTACTAGCCAATCTATACCTGTAAAAAGGACTTTGGGACAAATTCTTGAGGAAGCATTTGCTTAGGATGAATATCCTAAATGCAATGCCACTTAGCCACCTATATACTAAGGGTCCATGTTCTCAATGTGATTGAAGCTGTGAGTGTGTGTATCGTAAATTTTGAGTTTCTTTGGGAGGGCTATTTTTAAAGATTTTTCAATGTAAGTCTGTGACTAAGTACTTAAAACTAACCCAAACAGGTGTTGCTTAATAAAGGTTTTTTTGGAAGACTGGTTTTGAATGACTAAAGAAGAACTGTCTAGAATGAGATCATCAGATGTTTATATATTTATGGGGGAAGGTGTTAAGACTTTTATAAGTATCTTTATGTTTCTCATCCATCTTGTTCACACTGTGAAATCACAGTATACTAAAGAAAAAGATTGCTTAGGACTAATAAATCTCAGCTCAGTTCTTGCCTGAATGTAAAATTTAAAATTATGAAATCAGAGTTAACTATTAATCTCCCACCACTTCTC